CCTTCTTGCAAAAAAAAAATGCAGCTTTACAAAAAAAAAGTTGCTTTGTAAAGAACAAAAAAAAGTGTAAACAAAAGTGGTTGATGTGGGACTGATGCTTGTAAAGAACCACCCCAAGTAGATAATTCTTCTACCTGATGAAAATTCTAATCTGTACTACCATGGCATATAATGAATAATAGATTGAAACATAAAATTACAATATAAAAATTATAAAAGTAATTAATAAATCTAATAATTTGTTTACTTACTGCAGACCTCTCTTTTGAATAACGTGGTTTACTACTATACCAGCCAACTTGTTATGTAGACTAAATGTTAGATTAGTAGCACTTAACACAATCATACCATCTGTGCAAGATTTTATGATAGGGGCTAAGCCATTCTGTTAAATTCAAAAATCATATCCCAGGTTTACTAAGGTCAATATATCTTTTAGAACCAAAATTATTATACTTGTGATACAATCTAATAAGTTATTCCAACTAAGTGTTAAAATATTTCTTTACTCATAAATTTCGAATATAGTAAAAAAAGTATATTAAAAAAAAATAATTGTAAAACCTCAAAGAGAGCACAACTTTTATTATGAACAATGGTTTTCGATGTAGAAATTACTTTATTAGTCAATACTGTATCTGGAAACATACAATGCTTTTTCAAAGGGCTCATGAAATCATTACTGCACACATTGAAGCCTTTTTCACTTTCATTTAAAAAAGCTGGTTCTAGAATCAAAAAACATTATTATTCAGATCAGTTGCAAATAGTAATACTAGTATAACAAGTGTGAGAGAAATGTTAAGTTACTTAAAAAAATTTAGATAGTCAAGTAAACTCTTATATTTAAAAATTTTATTGAAAAAATTTCAAATTTTTAATAAAAAAAACAACTTCCATAACCAAAAATTTTACCTTTAATTTTTAAACCACTCACCCTGAGTCCCTAACAACTGTTACCTTATTATAGGATAAATTGTACAATAAAAAAAATAATTATAATAGATACCAAGTGTAACATCTTCATTTTCTTTTGCATCATTTTGAGGCTCAAAGAACATGCTAGACATACTGGGAGAAGCTAAAAATTATTTATAAATAATAGATATATTTTTGGGAAAAACTTTATGTTAACTGTATTTAACTTAAAAACTAGTAACACACATTAATTTGGTTTTAACTATATAATGATTTACTATCATTTAGTTTTACCACTAACATATTTTAGTTAGGTGAAAAGCAAGATAAATCATTAAAAAAGTGTACTGGATAAAGTGTTCTGCATTGGATTGCTCTTTGTGAAATCAACTGACTGAACATCTTCAATAAGATTAAAACTATCTTCTACTAAAACATAAAAAAGAATTACATGTCAGTTATTTTTGTTTAAAAAAAACAATACTAAGCATCAAGCTTCTACAGATAAAAACTAATTGTATTATATATATTATTGGCATAATTATATAGATTAAATAATTATGATATTATTGTACATTTATGTAAAACTGGTGCATGATCACAATAAGCACACAAATGAAAATCTTTCTCTTTTGTGTACTCATCACAATCGCAATTTGCTTTGAGACATTGCATTCGATTTTTTCCTTTTTTATCCTTCATTTTATATGACACTATAAAAAGGCAAATAAATGTTTATATTTTATGTTACATAACACATATAAAACTAGATTCACTTAATATATAACAATTAAAACTTATTAAATTTAATAAATCTAGAAAAAGTCAAAATATGAAGATATTTCATTACTTTAGTGTTCTATGCATTTTTTAGTTTATTGCATAAGATTAATTATATAATTGTTAAAAAAAAGCAATCCTGAAGACTAAATGAATAATATATATATATATATATATATATATATATATATATATATATATATATATATATATATATATATATATATATATATATATATATATATATATATATATATATATATTAAATGGATACTTATTTAAAAATTCAAGAAACAAAATAAAGAACATCAAATATTTAAATAAAAGTAATAGTTTTTTAAAATAAAAGAAACCAAGTCCAATCTTTATACTTTGTGTATTAATGATACATAGTTACTTTTATTTAAATTTCGCAGTTTTAATGGCCAAGGTGAGATAATGCTATCAAAGTGAGAGCAATTTAAAACAATTAATTCTGTTTCAATGTCAACCTCAAAAGATTGCAAGTGATAGCATTCTGATATAACAAACAACTTTTGACAAATAAAAAAAAAACAGTCAGTATCAGATATAAAAATTTGTTTGATTATACAAAATTCAGGATATAATTCTCCAACTGCATGAATAACAACATCACCAACTTTAAAGTTAACTAAGTTAACAGAAACACATTTTGATTGAAAAATTTCTCTGTATAATCCATAGTTGCCTATCAGTTCTGAAACAGTTTCTCCATCAATCACATGACAAAGTAAAATGGGCTCAGTTTTAGCAACACTAAATTCATTATTTTTCAAACCATGTTTCGCCATGAACCTTGTTGACTGGTCCATTTGGTGTCTAATAGCTACTGTTTTACAAATATTTTTAAAATTCCCTACAGATGATGCAGTTTTCTTAAAATCTCTCAGTTTACCTTCACATCGAATCACCCACATATGACTTAGTGGACCAAGCATTTTGATAATTCGTGGATAATGAATGAGATTATGAAACTTTAAAGTTAAGCCACACTTAAATGCATAACAGTATTCTTGTAAAAACTCAGCAATGATAGAAGCAAAGTATATCAAATCAGGTTTGCTAAAATGCAAGCCAAATGAGTAAAGGACAACTTGCCTTAGCAATAAAAAAATAACCCAAATGTTGTCATCAAAAGGAACTAAATCTCCAACTAATAAAGGAAAGCTTAGAACCAAATTGAGCATTTCAATTGCACCAATATTAATAGAACCGTTTTTTATTTGAAACTCAGTAGGACAAGAAGGAATTGATGAGTGATCATATGAAAAATTTCTTATTCTGCTACTTATGTCACTAAGATTAAAGAATTTTTAGTTGAAATACTAGATAATTTAACATTTTATGGAAAAAGTATTTGCAAATGCCTTCTAATAAATCATGCATAATATCGCAATAAATGTTATCATTGACATGAAATGATGGAATTTTGTTAAAACAACATTCTTCCTTTATGCCATTAAGAGAACAATTATTTAAAGAAACGTCATAATCGTAACATTCTTTAGTTCTAAGTAACTCAACCGATTCAACAAACGTACAGTCAAAGTTTTTGCGCTTTATTTTGCATATTCTGCATGGGTATGTAGCAGTAAAACTTTCCACATAACCCAACACTCCATTTAAACCTAGATTGTCACCAATAATTTGAACAAGCACAACAAATATTTTAAGATTGTTTTCGTCAATTTTTATAGTAAAACCTTTAGTTTCTAATTCTGTCATTTCTTGTATATATATAGAAAATGCATCTTTATTTGAGTATTTACTGCGACCAGAAGAGTTTATAACTGCACTTAACAAAATATTATTGAGTTTTGAGTTATGTTGTGGTTTTATGCATTTTAGAATTGTACACAATGCTCCAATTTTGTGAATAGTGCTATGAGAACCAAGTGGATTAGTGGTTTCTAAATCATCAAAAAAACAAAAGACTGGTATTAAAAGAGTATTTTGTGAATGAGCGTGTTTAAGACGTAATTGATGATTTTGCCACAACTTTCCGTCTTTAAAGTCTGAAACTAAACCATTATTAGATGGTTTCATACGATTTCTTATTTCATTAAGTACACCAGGAAGACAAAGGAAAACTTCAAGACACTGCTTTAATGAAACATATTGTCCTGTTGCAATACAAGTCGAGCAAACTATTCCTTTAGCTGTTCTTTGAGTGCTTATAAAATTACCTATTGGGTATGATTTTGGTTTTATATAATATCCTTTCTTTTCAAAGTATTATGTCTGTTTATGTAAACTTTCTAAACCTTGAAAAGGTTTTTTAAGGCGCGAGATGTTGTTGCAGAAATTATTACTTTCATCAATTTGGAGACCATGTTTGTCAAAAATTACTTGGGCCTCATTACTAATTCCTGTTACAATTGATGTAATTAAGTCTGAACATGCATCAACAATTTTCAATGTAGTGCTTAGTGGCAGATTAGGATAACTTCTCAGTTTTGAAATAAAATAGGCAGAGTCTTCAAAAATACCATTGCATTTGTCAAACCTAATACCAAAATTTCTTATATTCACTATGCTAACAGATTCTGTACTGTGGATACCTGAAGAGAAGTCACTAGAAGAGGAGCAGCACGGCTTATAATCTTGGCTTTCCAAAATATGTTCTAAAAGAACTTCTTTATGAGATTTTTCAATATGTTTTATAAGACTTTGGAAAGAATTATATTCTAGCGGACAACCTTCCTGTCTGCAAACTAATCTCTCACCATAACTATGTTTATTATGAAAAACTTTTAAATAGCACTTATACGAATTGCTAGATCTTGCAGTATATTCACAATAAGCACAGTTAATCATAGTTAAAGTGATATTAAAAGCAGTCGGTAGACAAACAATGAAAAATTAATGGCGACATAAATTTTGTTTTTTCACTCGAGATTTGCAATCCCGCGGCGCTTTTGGTGAAAGTAACCAAATATATTTTGTAAATTTTACCAAATTATTTTGTTGCTTTATGCGTGAATACAAAAAGCAAATAAAGAATGTAACCAAATAATTTGGTTAAAATAACTAAATCATTTTGGTAAAGTTCACAAAAGGTTTAGCTTTTTTCACCAAACATATTTGTAGTTTTTACAAAAACTACCTAACCAAACATATTTGGTTAAATTAACAAAGCGATTTTTTGCAGTGTGAGGGTTGAACAAATTTTGCTTTTATGTTGTCACAAATTTTACAATATGTTTGTAAAATTAGTTGTTTTATAGTTTAAAAGGTAATTAAATGTTTCTTTTAAAAAATTTTCTTAACATAATTTTTAGTTAAATGAAAACCGATTTGCAAACAGAAGACCTCCTCAGTCTGCAACAAATGTTGTTATGCCGTTTGACAATGAAAAATTTAACTTTACCAAGATTCAACCTCGAGAGGTATAAATAATAAACTCAAAGAAAAAAAAGATTTTATAATTTGCAAATTGTGACTAGATATTTTAGAAATATTATTAAAAGTGATATATTAAAAAAAAATTAGGTAGGGGTCACCAAAAATCACATCAACTATTGTTTGTTGTTTGTTTTTAACAATGCTTCTTATAATATTATTAAATTTTTTGTAATCAAAAATATTTTTAATGTATTGTTTATATAGATAAATATATAAAATTTAAAGATTTTAATATATACTTTTACATCTATATATATACATTTACATCTATAATATATATTTTTACATCTTGAATATGTTTTTTCCTTCTGGTTATTCTTTTAATATGTTTTAAAATAAGTTTTTTTGTTCTAATTTTAAAGTTGTTTTTTTCTAAGATATTATTTGAGCTTAAATCTGAAGACAAAGTTGAGGTAATCATTTGATTGAAAAAATACTTTTCATTTTTTTGTCAGAGAACTAGTTGTGCATACTTTACTTGCTTTGATCTTTAAACAATTCAATCAAATTTTTAGATTGAAAAAAGTGACCTCATTATTATAAATGTTAGTCCAATTGACTATGGACATGTTCTATTAGTTCCCGATTCTAAATCTGGCATGCCTCAAGTAAGTTTTTTCCTTACTAATAATTATTTAATAATAATTTTTTATAATTTTCTAGAAAAAAATTGTGCATGAAAAAGTAGAAATATAAAAATGCATTTTTAGAATTATGCATAGCTTTTTCCAATATCTGTCAATTATTTAATTTTAATGGATTTTATAGTAAATTCTACTGCAGGATTAACAATCAATTATTTATTTTTTGTTTTTTAAGTATAAGTATTTTTGAGAATTCCCAGCATACAATTAGCTTTGTATGTTTTATGAGCTTTCTCATAACTTTAAGGACTTCATCATGATCATCTGAGACTTTCAGGGATCAACTGTTACTTTTAGGGTTCACTCAATAAACAAATTAAAAAATTTGTTTATTGAGTGAACCCTGAAAGTAACAGTTATGTGAATGTAATAAATCATTTTTAAATCGTTTGCAATTCTATTGGCAAAACATTTAAAAAGTTTGTTATTATTATAAATAATTAATTTTTTAAATTTTAAAGTTCCGTTAACAAAGTTACATATAAAACCTTATTACCTTTTTATACAGAAAGTTCCATTGTTAATCAAAGAGATTGACCTGGTATTGTTTTCAGGTAATAAATCAGTATGGCATTGTCAAGGCAACACAACTTTGTTTATTATCAACTGATAAGTACTGCTTTTAATTATTATTTATTTGAATTTAAAGGTTTATTTCATCTTTATTCCTTTCACAAAATTTTTATTTAGGCGCTTTTGCATTGGTTATAATAGCCTTTGTGCATTAGCTTCAGTTAATCATCAGCATTTCCATATTTTGTTTGTAGACCATGTTTTGCCGATATCTAAAAGTGTAAGTTTTTCTTTTTTTTTTTGGTTGTGCATTTATATTAGTATAAATAATATGACAAACTTTTTTTGATAAAATCAGAAAGTTCAATGCATTGGCAAAGAATTATTTATACTCAAAGACTACATGGTAAATGGACTTGCTTTGCAGCTTACTAATCAAAATATTGATTTCTTTGTGAGGTACATTTGTACATTAAATATTGATATTGTTAGAAAAAGTTTGTTTTTTAAAGTAATGAATGCTACAGCTTCTTTTTAAAACACCTTTTGAGGTATTTTGAGAGTTGGTTTTTACGTGTTTCAAAAATAAGGCAATTAAAAAAAAAAAGTAGAAACTTTGAAAAAGTGTAAAACGTTTTTTAAAACAACTCATAATTCTTCAAATATATATTTATTTAATAAGATAAGCTTAATTTGTAAAAAAGTCAACTTTTTTAAAAACTTTAAATTTTTTATCTTAAAATGATCCTAAAGTGCCGTGCTGTGCCGTGACGTACATTTTTTTTTATCATTATCTTTAACATGAGCACAAGTTGTGCTCATGTTAAAGATAATGATAAAAAAAAATAATTGAGCATAATTTTTTTTAAGTGAAACAAAATAATAAAGGTATACCAAGAAAAAAAAACTTTGTTGTTATTTTCGAAGCTCGCCGTCTCTTTTTTAGCCTATCTCTCAAAGTTTTTAAAATATTCGGCACAATCTACAGACTTTATAATTTATTCAAGCGCGTTTTTCATTTCCAAAGAGTTTAAGTAGACGTCATTGTAGAATTTTGATAAGAAAACTGAAAAATTCTTTTTTTTATCAAACTAAAGAATTTTTATTTTTTATTATTATAGATTATTAAAGACTTTGTTTAGTAACTTATTTTATATAAAAGTTTTTTTTTCATCATAAATTTTTGTAGAATTTCTTTAGTTATTTTATTTTTAATTTTCGCAAAGTTCGCATTAAAAATATGAATAAAATCAGGGCTCGAATTAACGCAAGAAAAAAAAAAAGTTTGCCTCCCCTTCCTTATACCTCGCACCGCTTTGTGGTAATGGGGGGGGGGGGAGTGCATTTGTATAAAATTGTATCTTTTGTATGTAATTGTTACTTTTTTAACATATTATCTCTCATATATAAATGTTATTTTATAATTTTCTCGTTTGGTGGAATTTAAAATAGAGAAAGTTTACAGCTTAAGTTATAATTTAAAGTTTAAGTTGCAGTTATAGTGTAAAGAGCAAGTTTAATGTTTGCAATAGAATGTTTTTACTTTTAGAACTACTTTCAAGAAACAAAATATAATTAACTATTCAAAACATTTACAAAATTTAGGATTTACAAAAAAAAAACTTTCTCTTTCTCCCTTGTTTCTTCAAATTGTTTTAAAATTTTCCAATTTTAAATTTTCAATCCCAAAATTATTTGAATAAGAGAATTTTAAAAGACTAAAAATATTTTGTTCAAATAGATTTCTTTTTAAATGAAATTCTTAAAAGCAACTTGCGTATTTATAGAAGGTTTTTAATCTTGATATCGCATAGGTGCGAATCAGTGACAAAAACTGGCACAAGCGCGAACTGGCATATGTGCGAATTGGCATAAGTGTGCTAAACAAATTTGCAAGCATTGGCATAAGTGCAAACTGGCATTAGTGCGAAGCAGTTACAAAAACTGGCATAATGCCAGTTCGCACTTATGCCAATGTTTGCAAATTTGTTTGGCGCACTTATGCCAGTTCGCGCTTGTGCCAGTTTTTGTCACTGATTCGCACCTATGCCAGTTCGCACTTATGCCGATGTTTGCAAAATGTTTTGGCGCACTTATGCCAATTCGCACATATGCCAGTTCGCACTTATGCCAGTTTTTGCAACGCTTTGCACTTATGCCAGTTCGCACATATGTCAATTCGTGCTTACGCCAGTTCGCGCTTACGCCATTCGCACTTATGCTAGTTCGCACTTATGAAATTTGCGCTTATTCAGTCGTCTGTACTTTAAAAACAAAAACATTAGTTTTAAAATCGCCAAAAAAAAAATGTAAAATCTATAAATATTTTTTAACTAAAAATCTAAGAATTCAGCAAATATCTCTAATAAATGATGTCATTTACCAAAATTCTTTATTAATTAAAAATTAAGAATTTTTGATAGGAGAATTTACATAGTGATAAACGGCTTAAATTAACTAGAAAAAAAGCTCTCATTGTTTACATAAAAAATATAGAGTAAAATGGGGCCAAATGGAATAGTTAAGGATTTTAATTATTAATTTTTTACGGAAAAAAGATTTTTCCTTTTTTTTAAAAAAAAGTTGTAGAGAGTATTGAGCTGGATTTAAATATATGAAATTTTAACAATTTTTTTGTAAAGTTTTTTATAAAACTTTATTTGATTAAAAAAAATTTTATTCGATTCTACACAGACATTCGAGGAGAAAGAAATACGCAAATATAAGTGTAATTAAAACAACACTTTATTAAAAAAAACAAAAAGCAATCAGTAATAACAATTAAAAAAACAATCAATAATAACAATTTAAAAAATAAATCAAATAAAATAAACTTTTTTATTTTTGTGATGATGTTGAGCCGTTTAGAGGTACTAGAGGTTGAGTTGAATTTTCACTTGTGCAGCACTTTTTGTAGCAATAAAACTCAGTGCCTTTTATTTATTGCTTTTATATGCATGAATGACATAACCTTGCAATTTTAATTTTCACACTGGTACCATTCCATAATTTGACTTGCCGAAGTTTCGCCCAAAACTTTTCGGCACTTTTTACACTTGAATTGGTTTGCAGCTAATATTTTCGTTGGACTTGTTGCTTGGTTTATTTGCTGTTCTCCAATAGAGCTAAGCTTAGGTTGTTTTTTAGCTTGCTTTGGTGCTTTTTTGCTCTCAGCATCTTTCAACTTTTCAAGTAATTTAGGTTTGTTGAGACACTCCCCTTCGAATCTTGGCACATCTACATTTTTTCTATTTTTGTGTGTCAACGTGTTGGATACGAAACATTTGTTGCAAAGTTGCTGCAAGTGATTGGGCTGATTGCAGTTGTTTTGCAACCTCTTTTTGAAATTCTTTTTAAATAGCCAGAGTTACTACAATATTGAAGGTTCTTTGCAGACAAGGTGACTTTTGAGATGACTTTGGAGCTGATGCTATGTGATATATGCTGATGCTAGATATTGTTGGCATAGATTCAGAGGGCAGTGGCTGAGATAGTGTTGTTCCTGGTGCTAGATTTGGTGTTGGCACTATCATAGATTCCGGTTGTTGAGATGATGAAGGCTCAGGTTCAGATCTCGGTGTTTTAAATGTATTAGAAATTTGCAACTTTGACTGATCGATTTTATCGATGTTGAGTGGAAATAAGCCAGTATTCCGAAACCCTAATTTTGAAAAAAGGTTCTTGATCGGCTTAAAAAGTTGTATCAGTAAACATTTTTAATTCAATGATACCGAATTTAGTTTTCAAGAGTTTTAAGTTCCTTTTTCAAAGAAATAAAAAAAATCTTATTACGCATTCGAAAACTTATAAATATATTGTTGAGCTTTCTATAAAATTTATAGGAAAGTCATATGATTGATAGTAGACACTTATTTTAAAAAACAAATAAAACAAAAACAAATAATATTGATTCAAAAAAAAAATTCTACAATGGCGTCATTTACTAAAATTCTTTGAAAATAAACACGCTTGAATAAATTATAAAGTCTGTAGATTGTGGCATATATTTTAAAGACTTTGAGAGATTGGCTAACATGGAGACGGTAAGTTTCGAGTAAAAAAACAAAGTTTGTTTTTTTACTCGAAGCTTGCCGTCAAAGTTTGTTTGTATAATGCTGTATTACTTTTTATTCAAAATTTTATCCACATACTTTTGTGTTTGGGTTTCAAACAGAAGTGAACTTCTACTAAAATTTGATTAACTTTACTTTAAATTACCAAAAACTAAACTGGGTAAAAGATACTTATCACAAAAAGTTTTATGAGTTTAAAAATGTTTATGTAGCTTTATAGCGCTTGTTTAAATCCCTTTTTAAGGGATTGTATCATTAAAGCAGTTACAGTCATCAAGTAAATGTTAAAGACATATCAGTCAAACACGCCACAACCTGTGCACTTAAGTATACAAATAAATTCAACAGTATCAACATTGTTCAAACAACTAAATAAATTGTGCTACATTTGTGGAAACAATTATCAACAGTGCAGTGTTTAAAATACTTATCACAAATATCAGAAACATTTTATTATTTTGCAAAAGTGTTTTACACAGTTGTAATATATCTAATGATAAGCAGTTGTAATATATTTAATGATATATTATGAATATAATATGATATATTAGGGATGTTATGTTGAGATACAATTAGGTACAAATAAATGGACAGAAAACATAAATATAACAAAATAAAAATGTTATTAAATTATTTTAATATTGCTTTTTTTAAACATGTTTTTTTAGTTGCTTTGCTTCTCTAAGTTAATGCTATTTTAGCTTAAGTCATACCTGCAACTTTCATGCTATATTTTATATGCATACTTTATCATAAAGTAATTTTTATATTTATAAAATGTACATATAATATGTACAAAGCAGCTGACAAAATAAGCTTTTCAGTGACCTCAGTTCAAAAAGTTCAAAATTTACTAATGAAAAAATTTACTAATAAAGGTTTTTATTGTAATAAACTTTTTTAAAATCATTTATCTTATTTATTGTTAAATTGGATGCATTTTTTTGTTATTTGCAGCATTAAATGCAAATGTACAGTCTACAACTTTATTTAACATCAATAAATACTAGTTCACTCATTACTAATTTTTCATTAATTTAATTTATTTTTGCAAGATTTTTTATTCTAGCTTTTTCAACTTTAATTACAACTTTATTTAACATCAATAAATATGAGTAAATAATTACCACTTTATTTAGAATCAATAAATACGAGTAAATAATTACAACTTTATCAACAAAAAGTTTGTAATTAAAGCTAAAGATGCTAGTATCAAAAATCTAGCAAAAATAAATTAAATTAATAAAAAAATAGTATTGAGAAAACTTGTATTTATTGGTATTCATATATTAAATTAATCCAACTCTCATACAAGATGTTGTCATTTTAAAATACACACGCTTGTTTAAAAAAATACACACACTTGTTTAAAAAGATACACACACTTGTTTAAAAAAATATATAAATCAAAGTTTACTTTGCTAAATTAATGTAGATTTAATATTGTCAATCAATTCTTTTCAGGCAATCTTGTAATATGAACTGCATTCACTTTGCATTCTGCATTCAATCAGTTTACAAATCATTGCAAACTGCATTCAATCATTTAGTTTCCTTTACAAAGTAAACCCCAAACGACCCAAAAAGTCTTTGATTGACCTTATCTCATAACAGTTGTTATGAAATGTCATCAGAATGTTGTTCATGTATGAACAGAATGAAAATATTTTCAATACATTCTTTTTTGTACATATTCTTGTTAACAGAATAGCCAGATTGCTTGATTACTGGTCTAGTCATACCTTTATAAATAATTGAGAGCCATACCAATGCTTTGCATTGAAATTTAGCTTTTTTTTTGTATTTAAGGTTTGGAGATGCCTTCTAACTATAACCTGCAAACTATGGAGTTTGACAAAGTAAAATAAGTTTCATCATCCAAAAAATATTTTTTATTAAAAACTTTTAAGAAAAGCATGTATATTTAGGGCAAGCAACTATTTCTATTTACTGCTCAAACACTTGTGGTTCAACGATTTTAAATTGCACGATTTTAAATTGCTGAATCAAATCACCTTGATTTCTTCTTTCTTCAAGAGTTATAAGTCCAAGGATATCAAGCCTCTCCTCATATGCCTTAAACTTGATTTCTTTGTGTGTGTTTTTGTTGCTCATTGTTAAGTACACATATATAGCACATATATCTCATTGTAGATATGGAGACCAGGCTCGAATTGCAAACTCAAAATTTGGTCTGACATATATGGTGTACAAGACTTTCCACAAGATAAGGCTTCTAAAAGCTTTTTTGAATGAGCCTAACACACAATTGGCTCATAAACTATTGTCATTTGCACGTAAGCTATTGTTTTTTGTAAAGTTTAATTTTTCGGAAGAACACCTGCTAAAAATTGCTGAGTCTAAAATATAAACAATTAAGTTATCAGGTGTGCCAAACAAGAAATATAATCAATAATAAAAAATGGGCAGAGCTAAATAATGCATTGTGGTATATGTTTATTACAAAAATGAACCATTTGTTTGCATTCAGAGTTTACCTTACTCAAGCTAAAAAATTGTAAATCAGCACATTATTTCAAGTTAAATACAACCTGGTACTTATCTCATAAAAGCCATTTAACTATAAGACCTCTTTAACATCTTTTGTTAACATTCTGTTTAATAAATGATAAATTACTAAAAAATTGTAAGTTCCCATTTCAGCTGTTTATTTTTACTGGTTGAACCGTAGTTTAACTACAGTTCAATCAGTAACAGTAGTTTAGCTACAGTAAAAATAAACTGCCAACGGTTTGAACTCAACTAACTTGATTAAACTGTTAATAAACTTAAACCAAAGTTATAAAGTCCTGCGATTCAATCAATTAACTTGATTGAAATTTTTAACATGTTATAGTTAAACAGTAACTTTAAAAGCATTCTTAACAAGTGCAAATCGATGTTTTTATTTATAAAAAAATAAAATAGTGCAATCAATATTTTTATTCAATATTTTTATTCAAGTGCGTTTGTGAAACATAGTTTGAGTTTATAACACATTTAAAAACTTCATTTAAAATTTTATTCTTGTTGAGTAATTTTTTTATTATTGAATGATTTAACATTGAAGATTATAATTTTTTATTTTAGAAACATTATAATAATAACTGACTTCTTTTGCAAAAACAATATTGCCCATAATCTGTTCATGTGCAAAAGTTTAGCTTTTGATGGCAGCGATTTGTTGATGGTGACAGTGTTTTTATTTCCAAAGGTGCCACTGTTTGGTAAGCGTTACTCTATTGTCACAACTATATAGGATTTTATAATTGTACTTTTTAGTAAATGTTATACAAAATCAACAAAAATAATACCAGATTGTAAGTTATTGTCTCAAGAATTTAAAATCTAAGAATAATGTTTGGCTTATCACATTTTTAGATAAAAAGATAAAAAAATGTAAACATTTACAGCTTAAACATTAAAAGTTTCTTGTTAGATTTTTTCTTATTTTATTCTTGAAATTATTTTTCTTTAACCTTAAAATTTATTTTTCACTAATAATTTAATCTTGTTGGCCATTTATCATTAGAAAACATTTTTCATATTAGAAAACATTTATCATATTAGAAAACATTTATCATATTAGAAAACATTTATCATATTAGAAAACATTTATCATATTAGAAAACATTTATCATATTAGAAAACATTTATCATATTAGAAAACATTTATCATATTAGAAAACATTTAACATTTAAAAAACATTTATCATATTAGAAAACATTTAACATTTAGAAAATATTTATCATATTAGAAAACATTTAACATTTAGAAAACATTTATCATATTAGAAAACATTTAACATTTAGAAAATAAAGTTAAAGAATTTTAAGTTTAAGATGGAAGAAGTGCAGTAAATATTTAAAATATTTTTTGTTAAAAATCATCAATAGAAAATTATCAGAAAGGTTAGTTAATTTTTTTAAATTTTTTTTAATTTTTGACTATTTGAGAGTTTAACTGACTTTATTTAAATAAAGTAATAAAATAAATTTCTAGTAATGAAAGAAACTATCAGAACCTGATGCCATCTTTTTTTTGATAAATATAAATTTTTTTTGATTATTTAAGCACTTTTTTTTCTGTGATGTTATATAATGAAATTAGTTCATTTTTAACTATGTTTAAAATTGTTAAAACTAAAAATGCAAATAAGTAATATTAAGTAAAACATTTTTTGCAGATTTGAAAACATTACAACGCTGCATTTCAGAATCTACTCCCAGTGGGTACGGACGTAAAAAAATCTTCTTTTAAACGTCTTATACAAGTTTTGGACCTCTTATGAACGTTCAAAAGACGTTTTATTTAGGTCCGGTGCCCACTGAAACTGTTTCTTAGCTGTTAAGTAAAAACTAAATTTGCTTGATAAGAATTTTCTTCGCTTCTTAATAAGCGTTAGTTTTTATGAATCTAATTTGTTTGTTTGTCTGAATATCACAACCACATGCGTTTTAAAGAAATTTTTTAAGAAACTCTTTTGTTTTTTTGCTTGTCAGAATATCAATCTCATAATGCCTTACTACTTAAAAAAGCTCTTTTTTTATAACACAAACATTACGCTATTTGCAACAGTAATTTTTATTATATCATTAATGAATTTCCTGCTACCACTGTTTTAAATTCAAAGTTATAACTTAATTTATTACAAATACATTTAAAAAGTGATATAAAAATATAAAAAAAGCAAAACAACAAAAAAATAAATATGAAAAAAAAATTACTCGATGGACTTGTTCAGAAAAAAATCAAATTAAGTGCAGAAGAAATCAAGATTACAACATCAGACCTTCTGCATGCAAATACACTAATTATAGCTGACCAAGTTGTTAGGCTTAAGACCAAAAAACAGAGTTTTGTTTCAAGTGGCTTTTTTTGGACAAAAAAAAGCTTAAATGCACTACCTGCAAAATAGTGAAACCACTTAGCATAGAAGCTAAGATAAGAATGAAAATATCAAAAGAATGGTCCAAATATGAAGTATCTTATTATGGCGAAAATAGAAAGCAACAGTTTAGTTTGCTACGTAAAAAAATATTTGATCACAAAGAACCTGCTGGGCATTAAGCTGCATTAAAGATGGTAGAAGAAGGTAAATAAGAGACTCTGTCAAACAATATTTTAAAGTTTTTAACATGTGAGAAAATTGTAACAGCAAATATTTTTCGATCTTCATATAAAGTTGCAAAAGGGGACCAGTCCTTTAATAACTTTGAAATGGAAGTTGATCTTCAAAAAATTAATGGAATTGAAACAGGTTGTATTCCCTATTTTTAAAAATGCATCCATTAATATAGTCAATCATATAGGTAACGAAATGAGGAAAAAAATTATTGCAGAAGTCATAAAATTAAAGAGTAAGATTTCGTTAATAGTTGATGAGTCAACCACTATAAGTCAAAAATTATCACTGATGTGTAAATTTGATGCTGTGTAAAATGCAGTGTAAAGAATTCACCAATTAATTTATATTTGGATTTAGTGGAACTTAAAAGCGTTACAGATAAAGGATTATTTGATGCTTTGCTTAAATGTATTCATTCTTATGGAATGAAAGAGGAATATTTGATGAATTATGTAGTTTTTGTAGCATGTGATGATAGGGTGCGATACTTGTGTTTTCAAATTAATCACTGAAAAATTTCCTTCTGTTATAGTTTGGCATTGTGCTAATCATAGACTGGAATCATCAGTAGGCGAGTATTAGTGACCATTAGGGTGATCTTAATTATTAACTGATTCAAATCATTTCTTGATTAGCTTAACATCGTGTACCGTGCTTCCCCCTAATATAGAAGAGTGTCGCGTTCATGCAAAGAATTGCTTAAAATTCAGCTGCTAAAAATTTAGTTAATTTGGTACACGCTCTACATACTGTTCCCATTTCCTCAAGTGAATGCAAACGAAACAAGGATTTTCACAGATGAATCTGATCATCACACCAACAAGGGCTTCATTAATGAAAAAAAAAGTTTCAACGTTACTATTCATAAAATTAATTGGACCACTAACAAGTTTCATTTCTTCAAAGTAAGTTTATTTGTTGTTACTTAGCAGAAGGCATTCAGCAGTAGAACACGGCTGTTTCACTCAATATAAAAGCGAGCTTGACACTAACAACATGATTTTAATTTTACTTAAAGTCTTTCCATCTAAAACATTGTTTAGTTCTATAAGTTTTATTATGCCAGTTGAGTTTAATTTGCCTATTATTGAAGACTTTGAAAAAATGTGCAGGAAAACCTCCGCTCAGGTTAAAGAATGGAATATAAGTCTAGCATTAAATGGGTGTAAAAATATGGCATATTATTTTAATAACCTACACACAGAGCAACTGGTATGTTTTTGTGTTAGATCTGGTATGTATGTGCAGTTTATTTAAAACATTTATTGCACTTTTTTATATGTAACATGTTTTTTTTATATTAGTCCATGTCCATTCAATTATTATTATTAGAAGTTAGTTCTACCTCTGTGGTACCATTGCTCTGCCTCAATTCTTTTTAACGAATGGAATGTAATTCTCATATATATCAAATTGGTGTAAAAATAAGAACTACAAGTTATTGTCACAGTTTTGAGTCAAGCAACTGTTCTTCTGGTTTAAAATGAAGTATGAGTTTAGTATCAACTGTGTGTACAAAGATTTACTTCTTAAAGAACTTATCAATGGACCAACTGATTATAGAATAGTTTTTTATGAGAATAAAAACAATTTCAAATTGCAATTTGTATATTTAAACATGCAAAAAAAAAAATTAAAGTTGGTGTCATTATTTAATAACATTCTCACATTAGAACTGTGTGCACATAATAAAAAATTTTTTAAAAGCTTAAGCTTTAAATTTTTAAGCTAAATATTCTAAAATGTAAATCTATTTTTATTTAATGGAATCAATTTTGAAAAACTAGTCATGTAACTTAAGTTTATGCCCCTTTTAATTGGATGTCCTTGGCTTGGTAGATGACAGGGCTTTAACTATTGCTCAAGGAATTCAAAGTGAAATTCATCCTCGGTGAATTTTACTTATGGAATTCAATACAAATGATTGTTGCAGATACCTCCAGCGTTAATACTGGAAAAAAAGAATGGTGTTGTTGTCATATTGCAACGAATGTTTACAGAGAAAAGCATCAACAAACCTCAGTTTATCAGTTGTCGATACCATGTATTAGATAGAATCCTCCGTTTGGTGATGGATGAAGAACTTGGTAGTAAAACCAATCGCCAAACATTGAATATCGATTTGTAAAAGAGTACGAACAATTGAAAACACAGTTTGATAATGTAACAGAAGTAATTCTCGAAGCATCAGACTGAAGAAATGATATGAAATTTTTGTTTCATCTCACTCGATTTTCATCTCACATCGAGTGTTCCAATTTTTTGTAAAAAAAAAAAAATGTAAATCTGTTTTTATTTAATGGAATCAATTTTCAAAAACTAGTCATGTAACAGTTTATCCCCTCTTTTAATTGGATGTCCTTGGCTTGGTAGATGACAGGGCTTTAACTATTGCTCAAGGAATTCAAAGTGAAATTCATCCTCGGTGAATTTTACTTATGAAATTCAATACAAATGATTGTTGCAGATATTTTAATGATTGTTGCAATCATTGCAGTTTTTATTTAATGGAATCAATTTTCAAAAACTAGTCATTTAACAATTTATCTACCTTTTTACGATTTGCTTTACTGGCATAAAATAACCTCTGTTTTAGTTAACCTTAAACATTTAAGTAAAATTTTTTTGTTTTTATAATAGTCCAACAATATGTACATTTAATAATAAATATCAAAAATATATTCTTTCTGAGTTTTTTTTGATAAAAAGTTACATCAAATTACTAATATTTAGCCAAGTTCAACATTTGCCGCGTTTATTCTAAAATTAAAGAAGTTTTTTAATATATCTGTGAAACATAATCAAATAAAACATTTTATTGGTGTTTTTATTCTTTTTACAGAACAAAATTATTTCTAATGTTTTAAAAGTTATAAAAGTTTTAGTAACACCCCTTACGTGAATATTTTCAAAAAATAACAAGAAGCCGTAAAGCTCGCTTGAAACAGCCGTGAGACACTTAGAACAAGAAAAGGAGTCAAGAAGAAATGTACTATAAAAATTGAAAAAAACAATGGGATTTGTAATAAAAGTTTATTGTTTTGTATTTTGTATACAATGACGTGACCCCTCACCCTCAACCCAAAAAAAAAAAATTTCATTATTTTGACATTTATTTTGCTACTTTTATTTGTTCCCACCTTATTGGGCATAAATTAAATTGCTAATTTCTCCCTTATTTTTGATATATAGATACATATAAAGAAAAACACTAGTGAGTTCTGGCACCTTTATTTTTAGAAATAGAGCACTGTATATGTATATATATATATATATATATATATATATATATATATATATATATATATATATATATATATATATATATATATACATATATATATATATATATATATATATATATACATATATATATATATATATATATATATATATATATATATATATATATATATATATATATATATATATATATATATATATATATATATATATATATACATACATACACTTCCTAAAATGATTTAAAAAGGAAGTAATTAAGATTTATTTAATAAACTTTTATTAACTAGCATATTGTAGAACCTAATCTTATAGAAAACAAGTAAAAAAAAAGATGATAAAATTATTATTTTCTATTTATATGTTTGTTGTGTCATGTCCTGTTTTTGAAGGTGAGCTTCATATTTACATAGAAAATTCTCATTAAAAAGTTTTAACATTAAAAATAATAAAATTAGAAAAAGGTTCATTTTTAGTGACTCATGTTATGCAACCTTTCAGAACTTTACTAGAAATGATAGGGTCAATTAGGGTATTATGAGCAGCTTAAGCAAAAATTAGAATATTTTCAAAAATAATTATGCTGGATTCAAAACGTTTGCAAATAAACAATTTTTAGGGATCACTACTCATCGATCCATTAAGATATTTGGGCACCAAAATTTTTTGTTAAAAAATTTTTTTTTTTTCAAATTAAGTATTTCTTTAAAATTATTTGTTGTAGCAAACATGGGTTAGTGAACCAAGCCCAGAAAAGACTAATTATTAAAATATTTTATTACCAATAGCAACTATGGTTTCTACTTTAGAAGTTTTCTATAGACTAAATATCTTTTACCATTGCTGGTGAATAGAAGTGTTTTTAATATGAGATACCAGTAGTATAATAAATTGATTTAAATCAAAATAAATGAGATGTTAAGAAAATTTTATAAATGGTTAGTCTTTCTTTTTTTCTAATTTTTTCGCTTAAATTAAAGTCAATATATTTATTTAATCTGTTTATGATCAAACCTAATGTGGTTAATAATTGTTGTATAATTGAGTTGACGTTGTTTAATAAAAATGGATCATTAAGTTCTTTTGGTGTTCTTTTGATGTTGTAATTATAATGCTTGTTTATTGCTGAAGGTTTTAAATGAATGTTCATCGTGTTTGTTGGATACTTTGAAGTTTAAAATTTTTTTTTTTATCTCGTATTGCCCTTGATGTTATCAAGGTTAACAAAATCAAATTGTTTAAATAAGTTCATCGGTTTCTTGTAATTAATTTTATTGCATAGTTGTAGTGCTCTACAGAAAATTCGATGATAAAACCTTTGTAGATTTATGTTTTAAGTTGTTGATTGATTTGAAATTTTTGTTGTTGTTATTTTCTTTGTTTTGAATATTAATTTTGAGTAGTAAAAATAAAATCATATAGTATGCATTGCTAAGGCTTTGTATCTCTTTTCTAGTGTAGTAAACTATTAGACTTAAGCAGTAATCAAAGTTAGTTAGTATGAATGTTTTGAAGAATTTTAAACGAACTTTGAAGGCTAGGCTAAATATATTAGTTATTAAAAATAATTTTTTGTATACTTTTTTTATATGATTTCCTCAAAGCAAAAACTGCTCAGTTATTTTAATGCAACCGCACAATGGACCATCTGGTTTGACATATAATGTTCTAATGTCAGGTTTTGAAAGGCATTAGGAAAGTTTCTCTTTATTCTGAACTCTCGTATTTTCTGTTAATGAGATTCATTAGGCATATTGTTATGTTGTTAGCCTTTTATAAAAGCCTCAACCATTCATATATCACAAACTATGTGACTAAAAACGAACAACTGGCTTAAATTATAAATGTGCATAAAAAAATTATAAATGTGCATAAAAAATTATAAATGTGCATAAAAAAATTATAAATGTGCATAAAAAAATTATAAATGTGCATAAAAAAATTATAAATGTGCATAAAAAAATTATAAATGTGCATAAAAAAATTATAAATGTGCATAAAAAAATTATAAATGTACATAAAAAAATTATAAATGTGCATAAAAAAATTATAAATGTGCATAAAAAAATTATAAATGTGCGTAAAAAATTATAAATGTGCATAAAAAAATTATAAATGTGCATAAAAAAATTATAAATGTGCAAAAAAAAATTGGAAAATTATATTTAAATCATTATAACACTTTCTTGAAATTTCAGAAAATGAAGTTTATAAAAAAATAAAAAGAAAATATAATAAATAAATAAATTCAGACAAGAAAATATAATAAATAGATAAATTCAGTGTTTTGAAAAAAAAAGTCTTACTAAACTTAAGAAAATTTTATTGCGTTTAAATTTAAAAAATAATAATAAAAAAATAAGACTGCTTTTTTATTGTAGTCTAAAGAATACAACAACTACAGTATAAAGTATTGAATAAACAACAGTCCAAACAGAGGCGATTTTACGGGGGGTGTTACACCCCACGGGGGGTGTTAAACCTTCTTTTAAATATAACAATAATTTAATACAAATAGGCAAGCAATGTTTCAAAAGATTACAAAATTTCTTATTAAAAAAACTCTCAGCGATATTTTCTTGCCTTAGCGTTTATAAGTCTCCGTTAAAAAACACGCACAAATGTTTTCATAGCAGCGGTTCGATTTAATTGTATATACTTGCATTGGTAAAATAAAAACATTTAAAATAATGGAAATAAAAAAAAAAAAATTTAATAATGTTAAAGTTTTATTTAAAAATTATTTTATGTTGGTATAAATATTTATTTATATTAAGGGGAAAAGGAAACAAGGTTAATGAATTCATGCTGCTTTGATCTCGCAGGATACATACTTTTAAAAGGTACTTCTATTTTTCTAGAAAACACTAATATATCATTTAATGTGGCTTGTTTGGAATTAGCAGGTTTTCTACCAATAAAAGGTATCATTTGTAGATATTATTTGTCCATCCTCCCCGTTTCAAACATTTAGTTACACCCTACCAGTATTTCCTCTCTTTACACGCAAGAGCTTTTTATTGACAAAATATTTTGTATTCATCATTTACAACTTTATTTTAATACTAAGTTTATTGTTTTTGTGTAAAAATTCCGTGTCAATTTGTTTTAAACACAGACTTTGTACCAATTCGATTTTCATTAATATCAGACTCCCCCCTCTTCCCTACTTAATGACACGCTTAACAGATGTTTTCTTTGGTTTATATTAATCGGTTTTAACGTCAAGTATCACTAATTACAGTTCTTTGATTTTATTATACAGAAAAAGAAGAATTCGACACGATGACAGAGGAAAAAGTGCTAAAAATACTTAATCAGCAAACCTATCAAAGCGAGCAGTTCCAAGTTATTTGCAACAAAATACTATTGCAAATGTAGTTAAAGTTCTTGCAGCGATATTGCAAAGCCCTTTGCAACGATATTGCAAATGTAATTTTCTTGAGATATACTATATGTTGCAAATTAATTATACTTATATAGTAAATTTTTTAAGGCAAAACCTAGAGTGATTTTTTTAACTCGATCCTCTATGTGGTCTGGGGGAAATAATATGACAAATGTTTGGGGATTAAAAGAACTTCATAAAAGTGAACATCAAATCTTCTACAGTTGGTCATTGCATTTATAAAAGTGATTTACATAAAAAATTAAAAAAGAATATATAAAGTATTTTTTATTAATGAAAAAATGACAAATTTAATCACTAAAAACTTAAATTTTACTTTTTTGTTTATGATATGATGTAATATGCACAGCACACTAAGACGAAGTCACACATACTAATATATATAGTAAAGTAGTAACGTAGTGTGGTATGTTGTATGGTGTGCGTGTGTGTATATGTGTTTTAATTACAAAAACCTTTGTGTTGAGAATTCGGTAATACGTTGTGATTTTGTTTTCAATGGCTTTTTGATAAAACAAATGTTTAAGCCGGGTGAAGTAATATTCGTATTAACCAAATGAATGTAATATATTATGTAATATCGATCACTCAATTTTTTTTACTTTTTTGATAATGTAATAAATTTTAAAAATAATTATGTTATATCGATGGTTAAGAGCACAAAGGGAATATGTCCAACATTAAACATTAGGTAAACATTAAACAAATTAGGTATTAAAGTATGTAAAAGAAATGAAAATAAAATAGTAAAAAACAAGAAAGAATTAATTGAGAAATGCATTTGGTTAAAAATCATGACAATAAATAAATATCATGAATTATTGTATGTTTTCAAACTTTCAAATTCAGATTTCTCAAAACAATGGTTAGTGGGCGTATTCCCTTTGTGCTTTTTACCATCGATATATCATTAAAAAATTCATCGTCTTATACAGGGCCGACGACACCGGAGGTGGGGGGCTCGTACCCCTTCTCACTTTTTTTGTAAAAGATTTTTTTGTTTGTTTGTTTAGGAATTGACGATTGTGAACCCCTCCCATTCCTACTTATGTTGTTATATGTTGACTCTAATCATAACACGAATTCATAATGTTCATTATGTTATGAATTTAAGACAGCACAGTAAACCTTTTTGTTGGATTTTTTTAAGTCTAAAATACCATTTTTATATTTTAAATTAGCAAAAAGTCATTGCTATATTTTAAATCAGCGAGATATATAAACGATAAAAAACCACGTCACCCGCACATAAACGAAAGAAACTCAAAATTTACGGTGACTGGCTTTAAACCGCCTGAATACAATAAACGTTTTTTTTATACTTAGCGGTAACTATTTAACATGCTCAATTAAAAAACTTTTTTGGCGAAAACGCAAATAATCAAATACACTTTTAGTTTTTAAAGAGTTTTCCTAACAAAAATATTGTGAAGTGTCATTCTAAAAAAAACATTTTTGAAGTGTTTTAAATTTAAATTTACCTTGGATTACTAATTGATTTAAAAAATCTTCTAAAGTAAAATAAAAGTTATGCATGAAATATTTATAAACAAAATAAACCGCGGTTGAAAAAACATACAAATATTTGTTTGAAAAAGTTCGGCTAAGATTTGTAATTATGTGCTATATTTTCAATCCCGGGATTTTGGGATTACATTAATTTCTTCCCAGGATACCGGAATTAATCCCGGTATCCTGGGAAGAAATTAATCCCGGATCCTTGAAATTTTTAAATATCTGTTTTTAAAAGATTTTAACATATTATTTAAGTAAAGTTTTAATAAAATTAATTACACATTAAAAATATTTTTAGAAAAAATTATTTTCAAGGAAATTCCTTTTTATATATATTATACATACTTATAAGTATGTATAATATAAAAAAAACTATAATTTTTGAATTATAAAGAATGCGTTGTTTTTATGGATATAACATATAAACATAGTTATTTTTGAAAAACGTTTTAAGGAAGCAGAGCAAATGCAAAGTTTGTTTGCCCAAACAACTTCTTATTTTTGTTGCAAAAAGATCTTTTTGCAACAAAAATAAGAAGCTGTGTGGGCAATGTCTCACATCGAATCGGTATGCTGGGTAAATAGGCTTTTTTTATAGGTTTATTTAGTTCGTCTGTTATTTTTTTGCTCTTTTCAAGAACAAAAGAAATAGATTCAAATGGAGAGTCAAAAAAATCAGAAACAATTTCAGATTTGGACTCAACGTTGGTTCTACCATTCTGCATATACTGAAGAACCCCACTTACATCTTTGGTACGTCTTTGTTGTATTCGAAGAACGAGAGATGAATGCAACTTTTAAAATATATCGTTGTTAACATCTTTAAGTTTTTTTAACATTAAAGTTAAGGCAACATCGGCTTTAAATTAGTTAGCATCCCGATAGCAAAGGGGCTCATCTGTTCCTTTTACTGGGACTAGCGCATTAATAACATATTGGATAACATATTGAACTACGGAAGTGATCGGACGTGCTTTTCTTGCGCTGTAAATTTTTAATAAAATTGTTTGAACTTAGTTTTTACAATTTTTGTTTATAATTGGTATTTAACTTTAAACATTCGTATTTAACTTGTTAATAAAATGGATAAAAATAAAAGTAGTGATAAAAAAGAATTTCAATTAAATACAGAAGCTTCAGAAATATCTGTGAAATTAGTTCGTGAAATATTCTCTGAGATGTTTAAGAAACAGCAAAAAGACATTCTCAAACTTATTAGTGGTAATTTAAAAATTACAAATGAAAGAATTGATGGACTGCTGAAAGAAATAGCAGAAATAAAAGAAACGTGCAAAACTTTACAAGTTGAAAATAATTTAAGAAAATCTGAAATGGTAAAAACAAATGACACAGTCTCAATAATTGAACACAGTCAAAAAGATATTGAAAACAGTATCACTTTTACACAAGATATCCAAGAGGAGAAAATCAATAAAATTGAAAAAAAAATTGTTACAAAAGTAGCATTTAGTGTAGAAGAAAAAAATAAGCTGCGACAATTTGAAGATCGACTGAGAAGAAATAATTTGCGCCTTGATGGAATAACGGAGAGCGAATCTGAAAGTTGGAATGAATCTGAAGAAAAGGTTTTAAGTATTTTTGAAAACTAAATGTAAGTGGCGTGGTTATTGAAAGGGCACACAGAACCGGAAAAACTGGGCAAAGTGTAAACCTAGATCAATCGTGATAAAACTTCTGAACTACAAAGATAAAGTTAACATATTAAAAAACTCGAAAAAATTAAAAGGAACAGGAATATTTATAAACGAAGATTATTCTTTGGATACCTTAAACATACGAAAAACTCTTTTTGAAGAAATGCGAACTCACAGGACAAATGGTAAGTATTCCGTCGTTATTTATGATAAATTAGTAGTTAAAGATTTTAAAAAATCACTTAAAAAAGCCTAAAGCTTATATATTTTTTATATTTTGTATTTTAAATATTAATCTTAGTTAATATGGCTAAAATGGCGGAAGCTATTAATAATATTGTTTTTGACATACCAGGAAGGAAAAATACACTTAACCGAATTAATGACGATGATAAAAACAATAACTTTTTTGACGAAATTTTAGTATAAACGGCTTATTACAATGTTGACGATGTTAAAGATGTTTTTAATTCTGCATCATCTAATTTTTCACTATTACATTTAAACATCAGAAGCATAAATAAAAACTTTGAAAATTTAAAATTAATGTTAAATAATATAAAAAACAAGTTCAGTATTATCTGTCTGACAGAAACTTGGTGTCATCGAGACACGATTAATTCTAACTTTCAATTATCAGGATATAAATCCATACATCAACCGAGAGAAATCGGCATTGGTGGGGGCGTATCTATTTTTGTCCAAAACTCATTGACCTTTAAGCATGTAGATAACCTCAAAGTAAATGACGCTGATTGTGAGTCATTTACTATTGAAATAATTAATAAAGCAATTAAAAATACATTTATAACAGCTTTATATAGACCGCCTAATGGTAATTACAATCAGTTTGAAAACCACATAAATTACTTGCTACCAAAGCTCATAAAAAAACACGTGTATTACTAGGTGATTTTAATTTGAATTTTCTGAATAATAAAACAGATAACCACGTTGCGCGTTTTATAAATACACTTTTGCAATACAGCGTTTTTCCCATAATCAACAAGCCAACACGCGTGACTAAAACAACTGCATCCATTATCGATAACATCATTACTAATAATTACACAAGGGCTAAAATGCAAAGTGGTATTATTAAAACAGATATCACTGATCATTTTCCAGTTTTTCTGATCACAGATTCGGCAACCCCTAAGAAAAAAATAGAAACAAAAACTATTTATGTAAGAAACATAAATAATGAATCAATCGTCACTTTTCGCGACCTCTTACAAGAAATAAACTGGGAACTATTGACTGATTGCAATGATGTAAATAATGGCTATGATTTTTTTATTCGCGTGTTTACTAAGCAATACGAAAAAGCCTTTCCAAAAGTTAAAAAAATTATTAATTCTAAAAATTTGCTTAGTCCGTGGATGACGAAAGGACTCATTAAGTCATCAAAAAAGAAACAAAAACTTTACCAAAAATTTTAAAAAAAAAAGAACTACAAAAATGAAATAAAATACAAAAAATATAAAAATTCTTTCGAAAAGTTAAAAAAGCAATCAAAAAAAAAATTATTATTCCTTATTGCTTAATAAAACATTTGGAAATGCAAGAAAAACATGGAATGTAATCAAAGAAATAACAGGCGTAGGAAATGTAAAAATTGATAATTTCCCAAAAAGATTGCAAAGAGATGGTAATATAGAAGATGCTTTTGTAAATAAAGAAATTGCAGAAACATTTAATGACTTTTTTATAAATATAGGGAAAAAACTAGCCAGTGCAATTCCTGAGGGGAGTAAATCGTTTGAATCCTTTTTGAAAAAATCAGATTCCATAATGGATGAATCGGAGCTTCTGGTTGATGAACTTCGGCTAGCAATTAGTATGTTGAAAACAAATAAGAGTGTGGGTCTAGATGAAATTAACCCTGATGTTGTAAAAGCGGTCTCTGATATTATTGAGAAA